AACCTTCTGTGTGCAGCAGTGCCCCCAGCACCCCTCAATACTTACGCTGAGCCCCAATGCATCCAGCGATGTGCATGACAGCCTTGGTTCTCCCGAGGGTCTCTGCCTCCTCATTGGGCTGAGACAGCAAGCAGGAGGCAATGGCTCCCGCTGCTGTCAATCACAGCCAGTCAGCCAATGAGGAGAGAGAGGGGGGCAGGGCAAAATCGTGGCTCCGTGTGGTGAATAGACACATGGAGCAGCGGCTTGGGAACACTTGCCTGCTCAAGTGCCCCCCATAGCAAGCTGCTTGCTATGGGGGCACAACCTGACAGAAAGGAGCGCGCCAGGAGCGCCGGCAAGGGACCCAAGAAGAGAAGGGCCCAAGCTGCTCTTGAAAAAGCACTGCACACAGCGCGGTAAGAATGTTTTTTTAAAAAAAAAATTACCTTTAGTATCATTTACAACTGAAATGGAAATATTAAAAAGTTTACATTTTAAAAAATGCGCACAAAATATAAACAAAAAAGCTAAAACAATGGAAATGGCTGGAAGAGTTTACTAAAAAACGAATTCGGGTAAACTAATTTAGGGTCTAATGTTTAAACAATTACATTGGGGGATCTGCTTGTTGGGTAGGTGCAGCGTGGTGCGGCCCGGCAGTAGAATCACACTGAGGTCTGGACTGCAGTACAATGAAGCCTACCTGACCGGGAACTTTACAGTCAATCGGAACGAAGAGTCAGCAGAGGGTAGGTTCCGGACTGTAGACAGCGCCTGCCAAGGAGGGCGGAATGCGGCTTGGCTGGTCCAACCCAAAAGGGGAGCTCCTATGGTGATAACAGACCTAAACCCTGAACTTTCCCTACTCCTCTGGAACCACTCCCTACCATTAAGTGCTGTCCCTGAATGCAGACGGGTCTGCTCTCCCTACTACTATTCCACAAGGTTTCACCAAAGTGCGCACCATAAACCCAGGTGGCACGGCCTATAGGAAGACCACTTTTTGAACCAATCATGGCCACCAGGGTCACCTAGATGCATGCGTAGCACACCAGAATGAGGCTCCAGGGAACCCACAGGGAAGTCATAGAGAATAACCCCCAGTTTCTCTAGACTTCACGCCTACCACGCTCGCAACTTGCCACCTCAGGTGGAAGGAACAATTAAACTCGCACACTGCTCTATAACCGCTGTTACACAGTGTAATCTGCAAGACACCAAGCTGTCAGTATGACAGCAGCTGATTCTTGCATTGTGCAGGAGAACAGCAAAATTCGACAGCGATTTCTGGCTTCAAATTTCCCCCCCCACACCCCCCCCCGTCAGGACAAGGATTACCTAGAGTCCACTTCTCCCTTAAAGCATTAAATTCCCATTTGCAAGCCAAAATTCCCCCAGCTCAAACCACAATCTCCCTCCCCAAAACCTCCACTCCCTGGCACGACATCATCGCGCCCATAAATTTTCCTTTTTCCCTTATCTGAGCATACACTCCCACCCCAATCCCTACGTGTTCAACAAATAATCCCCAAATTCTCCTCTACCAGCACACTAATCCTTCCCCCCACATTTCCCCTTCTAGCCACAAATCTGCCCCCCAATCCCCTCTCCTACAGTTTCCAATCACGGCCAGCCATCCCCCCACAAATTATCCCCCCCTCCTCTAGCACAAATTATTCTCCAAATTCCCTCTCCCCTAGCACAATCCTTTTTTCCCAAATTTCCTCTTCTATCCACAAATTCCCCTCCAAATCCCCTCTCCTAGCAACCAATCCCCCCCCAGAATTTCCCCTCCTAGCACAAATCTCTCCCCAAATCCTTCCCCTAGCACTTAATCATTTTCCCAAATGTCCTCTTTAGTGCAAATCAAATCCCCTCTCTTAGCACCTATCCCCCACCAAAATTTACCCTCCTATTACAAAATTTCATCCCCCAATCCCCTCTCCTAGCAACTAATCTTTCCCCAATTTCCTCTCTTTCTTGCAACAAATCCTCCCCCCCCCCGCCAAAATCCCTCTCCTAGCACCAATCCTCCCAATCCTCCCAAATTTCCCCTCAACAGCACACAAATTCTCCCAAATCCCCTCTCCTAGCACTAATCACATATTCCCCAAATGTCCTCCTTCTAGCACAAATCCCCTCCCCCCCAATCCCCTCTCCTAAGCACTAATCCTCCCTTCCTAAGAAAAAAAACAACACTTCCTTAACAAATGTCCTTGCCAAATCACCCCTTCTAGCACTAAAACCCCCCCAATCCTGACCACGCCCAAGGCAGCCACCCCTGCTGCCCATGCGACCTTATCCCGGCAGCTGCCCCCACTACTTTCTCTTTTTTGACGGCACCGCTCTGTCACCAGGAGGTGGTGTGAAGGGTTAATTGGTCCTCCCCTGGATAAAAAAAACTCATCCCTCAAATTGAACATAGAGGAAACAAAAATTCAGCAAGGGCAGCTGCAAAATACAGGCATAGTATTTATTTGCAGGAACCAGGTCCCTTTAAGGCCACGTGGATTTCTCAACCTGTGGGTCGCGCCCCCTTATGGGGGTCAAACGAGCCCTTTCACAGGATCCCCTAAGATCCATCAGAAAACACCATATTTCCGATGTGTACAAGAGCAGCTACTGTGTAGAAAGCAGCTGCTGTGTTGAAAGCAGCTACTGTGCTGAACGCCAGCAGCTACTCTGTTAAAAGCAGCAACTGTGTTGAGAAAGGCACTAGTCTGTTAAAAGCAGCTATTCTGTTAAAAGCAGCTACTGTGTTGAAAGCAGCTACTGTTATTGATAAAGCAGCATGCAGTAATTTGGAGGTAAACGAACACTCACTGGAATTATAATTTGACTGGGTAAATAATTTTATGGTTGGGGGTCACCACAACATGAGTGAACTGTATTAACCTCCTTGGCGGTATGATTCCTTCTGATTTTTTGTGCTGCAAGCGGTACCATTTTTTTCGCATTGGAAATAGTTTTTTATTGTAGAGGCTGTAATTTTTCGGAAAATTTCCCCACAAATCATTGATCACTCAATTCTGCAAGTGGTTCTCTGATTTACTATCGCTGTTCTCATTAGCCGGTCTAAAAAAACCGCTTTTGACGTAAAGGGACGCTTTTTGGACGCCATGAGACTTTTCTAAGTTTCCCAGGCAGAAAGAACAACAAAATGCAGGCAGGGGACCAGGACAAAGCACTCGGGACAAAATGTATGTGAAATGGGATGAAAACAGCAATGTTTTACTATTTAAAATTGAAAAAAAAAAAAGAGACAATTTTTTAAATTTTTTAAATTTCCCCGCCGCCGGCGGCGAGGCCTGGCGGTAACGTCCCGACGTCACGGGGGGGGGACCGAACACAAGAAGCCCCGGATGCCGGCAATCGGCTCGAGGATGATGGCAGGGGACGCTGGCAGGGGAACACATCGTGGGAACGATAGGACAAGGTAAGTGCTGCCAGGGACACCCAGAGTAGCGCCGCATGGTAAGGGAGTCCCGAGTGTAGCTCGGGGTACCGATTTGTGTATAAGAAATTTTACCATCCCGAGCTACACTCGGGAAAACACGCCAGGGAGGGTTAAAGGAGTCGGCATTAGGCGGCATTAGAAGTGCATGTTTGAGAACCACTGCTTTAAGCGAATTATCATCTTAGTATCTCATAGAACAACAATTTGTATTCAATAAAAAGCCTTCTGCAGGAAGTTCTGAAAATAATGAATTAATTTCCTCCCCAGTCGGTCTCGCTGCTGTTTTCCACTTCAATGTGTGTTCCTCATCTGATCCCTGTTGTTGCGCTCAGTTTTATGTTTTGCCAGACACACAGAGAGCTTGTGGTGGTTGCGTTGTGATTCATAGCCTATAATTCAACTGTTATATGTTTCCAGGAGACTTCTGTCAGCCGAAGTGCGCTCCAAACTTTCAAGCTATAAAAAAAGAAAAGTCCCGTTGTCAGATTTTCCTTTGTAATGTTGGCATCTTCCTGTCTCCCATCAACACGGAACGTCTATCCAACCCAACCATCCAAACCATGGCTCTAGAGCTACCGGCAGCTTAGTAATGTGTCAGCCCGAAAACCTTCGGGAACATTAACTACCTTAAGGTGTTAATGTTAAAAAAATGTGTTAAGTATTGACATAAAACAAACAGCATATTACATCCTAAAGTGTTACTAAACCCACAACAGTACAATCAGTCTGTAGATGCAGGAAAGCATGCTTGTTATTATACTCACTGTGGAACCTAAGGGGTTAATCTCTCTGCATTGTGTAAAAAGGGCTGTTTGATCCTGTCTTCTCTGATCCTCCCTTTCTTCCAGTGTCCCCCTCTTATCACTTGATAAGAACATATCCTGTGGACTATACTGCACATGCTCAGTTTTGTGTGCATTGCTAGGGAGGTCTTTTTTTTTTTGGGAGAATGCATGTAATCAGCATAGGGCCAATCAGCACTGTCCAGACAGAGGTCAGGGGTTCTGTATCCTCCTAGAGCAGAAAGAAAACTGCTCCTACAAGCTTTAAAACCAGTGCTCTGCTGAACACTGATAGAAGTCAAAAGACTGCTCTAACTGCTGATGAGAAAAGGCATTTAGCAGTTTTATATTTACTAAAATAATTGCATTTTCATGTTCTGTGTAATTATGGGAGAGACCAGATATAGTGAATGCAGGGTCCGGGGAGCGGATATAGTGAATGCAGGGTCCGGGAGACCAGATATAGTGAATGCAGGGTCCGGGGGAGAGCGGATATAATAGTGAATGCAGGGTCCGGGGAGACCAGATATAGTGAATGCAGGGTCCGGGGAGACCAGGTCTGCAGGGGGAGACCAGATATAGTGAATGCAGGGTCCGGGAGGGGATGCCCGGGGATATAGTGAATGCAGGGTCCTGGGAGACCAGGATATAGTGAATGCAGGGTCCTGGGAGACCCAGATATAGTGAAATGCAGGGTGTCCCGGGGAACAGCAGATATAGTGAATGCAGGGTCCGGGGAGACCAGATATAGGGAATGCAGGGTGTCCCGGGGAGATCGGATATAGTAAATGCAGGGGTCCGGGGAGACCAGATATAGTGAAATGCAGGGTCCGGGGAGAGTGGATATAAGTGAATGCAGGGTCCTGGGAGACCCAGATATAGTGAATGCAGGGTCCAGGGAGACCAGATATAGTGAATGCAGGGTCCAGGGAGACCAGATATAGTGAATGCAGGGTCCTGGGAGACCAGATGGATATAGTGAATGCAGGGTCCTGGGAGACCAGATATAGTGAATGCAGGGTCCGGGGAGAGCAGATATAGTGAATGCAGGGTCCAGGGAGGCCAGATATAGTGAATGCAGGGTCCAGGGAGACCAGATATAGTGAATGCAGGGTTCTGGGAGACCAGATATAGTGAATGCAGGGTCTGGGGAGACCAGATATAGGGAATGCAGGGTCCGGGGAGATCGGATATAGTAAATTCAGGGTCCGGGGAGACCAGATATAGTGAATGAAGGGTCCGGGGAGAGCAGATATAGTGAATGCAGGGTCTGGGGAGAGCAGATATAGTGAATGCAGGGTCCAGGAAGATCGATATAGTGAATGCAGTCCGGAGAGAGCAGATATAGTGAATGGTCCGGGATCCGAGGAGAGCGCATATAGTGAATGAAGGGTCCGGGGAGAGCGGATATAGTGAATGCAGGGTCCAGGGAGAGCGGATATAGTGAATGAAGGGTCCAGGGAAGAGCAGATATAGTGAATGAAGGGTCCGGAAGAGCGGATATAGTGAATGCAGGGTCCGAGGAGAGCGCATATAGTGAATGAAGGGTCCGGGGAGAGCGGATATAGTGAATGAAGGGTCCCAGGGAGAGCGGATATAGTGAATGAAAGGGTCCAGGGAGAGTGGATATAGTGAATGAAGGGTCCAGGGAGAGCGGATATAGTGAATGAAGGGTCCGGGGAGAGCGGATATAGTGAATGAAGGGTCCATGGGAGACCAGATATAGTGAATGCAGGGTCCGGGGAGAGCGGATATAGTGAATGCAGGGTCCGGGGAGAGAGGATATAGTGAATGCAGGGTCCGGGGAAAGCGGATATAGTGAATGCAGGGTCCGGGGAGACCGGATATAGTGAATGTAGGGTCCGGGAGAGCAGATATAGTGAATGCAGGGTCATGGGAGACCAGATATAGTGAATGCAGGGTTCGGGGAGAGCAGAATATAGTGAATACAGGGTCCGGGTAGAGCAGATATAGTGAATGGGTCCGGGGGGAGCGGATATAAAGTGAACTGCAGGGTCCGGGGGAGCAGATATAGTGAATGCCAGGGTCTGGGGTTTAGTATAACTTTAAAAACAGATTTCAGTGGTCAGATATTTAAAGTGTTACTAAACTCCCCCTGGACCCTGCATTCACTATATCTGATCTCCCCGGACCCTGCATTCACTATATTCCGCTCTCCCCGGACCCCTCATTCACTATATGGTCTCCCCGGACCCTTCATTCACTATATCTGGTCTCCCGGACCCCGCATTCACTATATCCGGTCTCCCCGGACCCTGCATTCACTATATCTGCTCTCCCCAGACCCTGCATTCACTATATCTGCTCTCCCCGGACCCTGCATTCACTATATTTGGTCTCCCAGGACCCTGCATTCACTATATCTGGTCTCCCCGGACCCTGCATTCACTATATCTGGTCTCCCCGGACCCTGCATCCACTATATTTGGTCTCCCACAGTACACAGAACATAGAAATGCAATTATTTTAGTAAATATAAACTGCTAAATACCTTTTCTCACCAGCAGTTAGAGCAGACTTATGACTTCAGCTGAGCACTGGTTACAGCTTGTAGGGGGAGTTTTCTTTCTGCTCTAGGAGGATACAGAACCCTGACCTCTGTCTGGACAGTACTGATTGGCCCTGTGCTAATCACATGCACTCTCCCAAAAAAAAAAAAAACCTCTCTAGCAATACACACTAAACTGAGCATGTGCAGAAAGGGCTACAGGTTCATTCTGTCTTATCAGCATGGGCATTTGAACAAGAGGAGGGGCAGAGAAGACAGGATCAAAAAGCCCTTTTACACAATACAGAGGATTAACCTCTTAGGTTCCACAGTGAGTATAACAAGCATGCTTTACTGCATCTACAGACTGATTGTACTGTTGTGGGTTTAGTAACACTTTAATAAAATACATCTCCATGCAATTTCTGGTTTTGGCAACAATTTTTTACTGAAAATGCACAAAAAAAAAAAAACGTAACGGTGCTTGATGGAGAACACTCCAAATATTTAACTGGTTTGAAAAAAGCATTCCCCACAGTTGTCTTAATTTTCTCGATGGCCAAATCGGGGACTGATTTATTTCATTTGCAAAGTTAAAATGGCAAAATTAAACTTGGGATCCCAGAAGGAAGACGTGTTTGCCAGGACAATGCTGCAGTTGATGTGCTAACCAGGGGAGGACTGACAACTCATGGGGCCCCTGGGCAATAGGGGATCATGGTGCCCCCGTGTCCTCACCCACACTTAAAACCACACCCAAAAAAGCCGATGAAAGGCACTAATGGCATCTCATGGGGCCCCTGGGCAATAGGGGATCATGGGGCCCCTGTGTTCTCACCCTCACTTAAAACCACACCCAAAAAAAGCCTATGAAAGGTACTAAGGGCATCTCATGGGGCCCCTGGGCAATAGGGGATCATGGGGCCCCCGTGTCCTCACCCAGACTTAAAACCACACCCAAAAAAGCAGATGAAAGGTGCTAATGGCATCTCATGGGCCCCTGGGCAATAGGGGATCATGGGGCCACTGTGTTCTCACCCACACTTAAAACCACACCCAAAAAAAGCCTTTGAAAGGTACTAGGGCATCTCATGGGGCCCCCTACTGACCCTGGGCCCTCGGGCAGTGCCCGACTACCCGAATGGTCAGTCCGCCCCTGGTGCTAACACTTGGGGGTCTATAAAACAATCATTGCCTGAATGTCACAGGCATACCTGCAAGCTGAACCAAATGTCACCACAATTTTTGTAAGAGATTAACTCCTGCTTCTTCAGCTCCATCTAGTGGCCAAAATGTGGTAGAGTTTTCCCACTGAGGCACTTCAGAAAACAATGCTGCATTTTGGCCACTAGATGGAGCTGAAAATACAGACAATAATCTTGTAAAAAATGATTGACAGTTCGCTCAGGATGCATGACTGCTTCTGTCATTCCTGTAACTAATGATTTATAAATAGACCCCTATTGTGTTTTTTTCCAAAAACAAGGACCATACCAATTTTTTTGTATTTAATTGTTACATTTTCTCATTGAATTATTTTAGAAAACTAAATGATTATTGGGACACTTGAGGATCCCAGAACAATGACACACTGACATTTGAAGGTCCCAAAACAATGACACGCTGACACTGGGGGTCTCAGAACAGTGATACACTAACACTTGAAGGGGGTCCCATAACAATGACACACTGACACTTGGGGGTCCCAGACAACAATGACACACTGACACTTGGGGGTCCCATAACAATGACACACTGACTGACACTTGGGGGTCCCATAACAATGACACACTGACACTTGGAGGTCCCAGAACAATGACAATGGAGGGAATGTATGCTAGGAGTGGAGATTTGGGGGGCAGATTTATGCTGGCAAGGGGAATTTGGAGGTGGGGGTGAGCATTTGTGCTAGAAGGATTGATTTTTATTGGGGGGAGGGGGCTTGTGCTAAGAAGAGGGGATTGTGGAGGGGGGGAGTTAACTGGTAGGGAGAGATTGGGAAAGCCAAGATTTGTGCTGGGGAGGGTTTCACTGGGAGCAGGGGGATTTTTTTTTTAGATTTTTGTTTGAGGAGAATTTTGGCTTGCAAAAGGAATTTATGCTGCTTGGGGGGGGGGGGGGTCACGTACTTGGGAGAGGACAAACTGATGAGAAGGCTCTCCCCTTACACCTTCTGTCTTGTCCCCCCCTCCAGATTGATGACAGGACACAGAGTGCTGCAGACACCTATAGTAAATCCCGGCCAGCAGAAGAGCTGGATCTTGCAATGATGTAGAAGCTGCAGAACAGGAACCCATGCTGGATGTTGGCGCAGGGCTTGCAGAAGCAAGAGGCAGAAACGTGGTCAGACCAGCAGAAGTTGGCAGCAGGTGGGTAACAGACGTACAGATTTGGAAAAGGAAAGTGTAAACAGGAGCCAGGGTGAGGTCAGTATAACACTACCCTTGTAAGGGCCGCTGGATCTGGTTTGGGTCCTCCTATGCACTGCACAGCCAGGCAACATGCATTTTCCACACTTGTACCCTCAGAGTCAGTAAACAGTCCTTGAGCTGGTTTTTGTTTTTATTTAGGGGTAACAACTTGGATGGGGTCTACGGGTATATGGGATGGCCAAGGAACTCTAGGACTAACTTCTAAGCAACTATGTACAAAAATGTGGACTAGCAAAATTATAGCACTGTCCCTTTACGGAGCGCTGTAGTCCCTTTTTAGTGTACCTCTTTGGACCCGGGATGAATCCTTCTCTCCACCCAGCTGTACTGAGGGTATCAGAAGCTTGCAGTTAAGCAGTCCTGGATGAGGACTAGTGGGTACTACACCTGACTGATCTCTCCCCTTATCTGGTCCATGGGGTATAGGAGTTCTTACACAGTCCTGTCCTGTCAGCGTGGTGGGTTGGGTGCTGCTTTCAGGACTTTCGCTGGATTGGCTCCTTTCCTGTTGCTCAGGATGTCCTCCCTAGGAGACTTTGGGCAGTGGAAATCCTGTTCAGCAACCAGCTTGTAGGTAGGCCCCCTCCCTGCCAACCCTCCCCCCCCCCCCAGGCTCCACACTCCAGCCTTCCTCTCAGTCCATATTCCACCCCACTCCCCTGCTGCTCAGGCTCTACCTGTCGGAGATCACTGCCGCGATGGGCTCGGCGCAGGCGCAGTGCACCGCCCTGTGCAGGAACGTGGGCACTGGGACCTGGCCGACCGCAATGAGCGAGTTCGCGCATGCGCAGTAGGGACCGCTCGCGCGCGCGTGGCACCAATGACAGCGCAGGGCGGG